GCCTGGTAAAAATAGCACGCTGCCCACTTTACATATTTGGCCTCTCACAGTTCATAAAATCAACGCCCACAGCGGCTCCTCTGCAGGGAGCGTCTTGCGTCCCCCAGTTGGGCTTCGCATGCTCCAGGGAGCATGAAAACCATCCTGCATGAGTGTCTGGCTCATGATAAATCTCTCCTGAGTCTCACAAGGCAAAGTAAGTGCTTTGACTTTCTGAGGCTGAAGAAAAAAGCTGATCTCTCAAGCGGCGAGTCCTGCCGTGCCCCGAAGGCCTGGTTTCTGGGCCCCGTTCCCTGGCAACTGTTGCCAGTAGTGGGCTTTCTGTTCTGATGGGAAGAGCAGGCTRGACCCGCATTCGCTGTGAGAAGAACCATCCAGGAGACAGAGTTGGAAGGTCCTGGCCAGTCCAGGCCCAGCTCATCTGCGCCAGCCGACTGAGTGAGGAGGGACAGCGTGCTCACCACGTGGCCTCATTCCTGTGGCCCTTACTCTCTGCGTTGGAAGGATTGGAGGACTCCGAGTCGCCCAGACATCAGCACACGCAAGCCCAGCTCAGTCCAGCGACTAGATGCTCGCGACTCTGACGTGTACCCTCGCCTACCAAGACCTTGGGCTCTTTCAGAGCTGGACTTCTACCTGAGCTTGCTTGGAGCTTGGAGTGTACTTGGCACCACGTGGTTCTGACAAAATGCCCTATRACCTAGACAACAATAAACCCAAGTCAGGGAGGAGGAAGAGGTGAGCTGCCGGGCCACCTGCCAGCTGGAAAACCCACTCCTCTCCTCCTGTCCCCCAAGGCTGCAACCTTGGGCGGCACCACCAGCCTGCAGCTTGCCGGCAGGCTTTAAATTAACTCGTTAAGTGATTTTTTTTTCCTAAGGAAAGGCAGATTTTTCAAAGCGGCATATGTTTATTTTTGAGTGGGAATTGTTACGTTTAAAACATTTCATTTAGAACTGTGGTAGATCTCCAATCACTTACACATGTGAAAACGCTGTCATTGCTCAGAGGAGGACAGGGTCCTTGTGTCCTCACGGCCCAGCTAATGCCTGTCCCATCCGGCCACACCACGGCTGRCTCGGCCTCCTGCTGCTGGGGCTGTCTGTGTGCGTGTTCGCGTGTAGAACCCATCGGAGCTCATGTCAGGAAGTCAGGGGGGTGACTTACTCTGTGAAGAACAGCCACCTGAAGTGGCAGGGGTGCCAACGTGGGAAAGCCACCTGCACCCTGGTCTGACTGGGAGGCTGAAGAAGCACGCGGCAGTAAGTGCTAAGGCTACACCTCCACGTCCTCCTCTGCACCCTGCTGCGAGTACCTGAAGCGCATGGTGGCTTCTCACGGTGTGTGACAGCTTCTGTGCTCTCGCTGTGCCCCCATGTTTACTGAGCAGCCAGAGTTGTGCACGGAGCCAAGAGTTAGTACTGAAAACGCAGCAGAGTGCTTCACCTAAAAACCCAACAAGAGCCAGAGAGAAAGGACCTGGGACCAAGTTCTGGAGGAAGGTGGTGTCCCCTTGTCCTCTGGAAACTCAGGCTGCCAAGCCCAGAGCAGCCGAGCCTGGCTCTGGGGCTCAGCCATGGGCAGCAGAGGTCAGGGCAGGGCTCTGGGTCTGGACTGTTGTCCCGGCACCCCGAGCGCTCCCGTGGTGCTCCCTGACCAGGGGTTTCCTCAGCCCCTGTCGAAACCTGCAGTGTCGAGGACATAGTCCATGACCAAAGCCCAAGGGTTGCTTTTATTCTGAAAGACGGGGGTGTCCGTCATTTTGTTGAAAAACGTCTAGTGACCATTGTACGACGAGTCAGCTTTACTTCGCTAAAAAAAAAATACTTGAAATAAATCAACTTAGAGTGGAAGCTCATTAGCTTATTTTGGCTCACAGCTTTGGAGGTGTCAGCCCAAGACCCAGCAGCTCTCTTGCTCTGGGCCTGTGGGGAGGCAGGCACCATGGCAGGCGCATGGGGGGCAGGAAGCCCCTTTTCCTCTGGGAAACGGGTGTGAAGGAGGCCTGGGTCCCATGACCCCCTTTGAGGGCACACCCTTGTCACCTGAGACTTCCCAGGAGGCTCCCTACTTAAGGATTGTCGCCGGGGAACCAGGATTTTGACACGTGGGCCTTTGGTGGACATCCCCGTCCCCAGTGCTAGCAACTGTTGACGGGCAGCGACCTGGAGCACGTGGTTCTGGGAATCCCACCTGAGCTGAGCAGTGATGGCAGCCACTCCTGCCTCTTGTCCTGGAGCACTGAGAGTCACCCGGTGCCCTGCCAGTGGACCCCTCAGTAGTGGCAGGCTCCCATGGTGGGCGGGTGAGCAAGTCCTCCAGTGTCCTGTCTAGTACTCTCAACTGGTTTGAGGAATCCCAGCCTCTGACTTCCTTCCAGTTGGTGGATTTAGGAAAACTGAGATAAAGCAGCTGTGGCCACTGGTGAGCTACGAATAGTCCACCCAGCTGCRAGACCCTCRGGCGCCAGCACAGAAGCTGGTGGGGATCCCGACCTTTTCATGAGCTCARCAAAGACATTTCCCCAGAGTCCTGTGTGTGAAGCAAAGCAGACCTGGGCCCTTCAGATGCAGTCCGAACCATCTTTGTTCGAGAGGATTTCTTATGACCTAGGAGAGAAGGGCAAGGCTGGATGAACCCAGGGAGAACCTCTTCAGACGAGRGGACAGCAGACGGTGGGGTGGGTGGAAAGTCCAGGAGCAGCCAGGACGTCCTTCACAGCCCGGGRTGGACACCAAGCATGATTTATAAGGCTGCAGAACTGAGAGCAAGTGTGAGAAGGAACAAGAGCACACAGACGTGGCGGAGGGGCCACCAAGAGGTTCCAGGGGCAGACTCAGCACCGCCTGGCGGCCCAGAGCAGCCTTCCGCCAGGAGGACGTGAYGTTGCACTGGCTTCACAGGTGACAAAAACTCCCATCTTGTGGACGCTGAAGACGCGGAGCGCTCCCCTTCTCGGTGTGGGAGGGGTCCCCCACCCTTGCCTGTTTTCTTTTTATTGCACAAAATTTTGGGCTACAGTCTTTTGACCATTTTCTTAAAACCATCATGGAATCTTCTCAGGAAAAATACCCAGCCTGGGTCAGTTCAGGTTTCTCCAAATTAAAGCAATAAAATTACCGAGGCCCTGCTGGGTCCACGTGGAGCCTCGTGAGGGGGCCACCAAGGGCTCTGGGGGGGATGGCTCCCGCTTCTCACCCAGGAAGTGCGTCCTTCCCCCTCTCCCTAGAGGTTCCACCCCACCAAGCCACTCTCAGGACTTTCAGAAGAACCCAAATCTTGGCTTTAACATCACCTGGGTAACGGCCTCCCTGTGGACTTGAGGAAAGGCCCTGGCCAGTTTGCTCAGAAGTCCTGACGATTTCAGGCAGTCTGTGGGTCTCCTGGAGCTCGAGAGCGGTCCTTTGCCGTTAGGTCCTGGTGTCCTTGGGTTTGTGCTTGGTCCATGTTTTGAAGTATTAGAGACACGTGAGATATATTTACAAAGGCTTTGCTGTGTGGGAAAGTGGTTGATTTAAATATTGAAGTTTTAAAATGCTGAATAAAAAGTTGCATATACAATCTGCCTCAGCCACGCTGAAGATGCATTTTCACACAGACACACCAAAAGCACAAGAAGCCAGGGTGCRGGGACAGCGGCAGTGCCAGGAGGTGTGAGGGCAGGCTCAGCTTCTCCCTCCTCACTCTCTGAATCATGCAGGTTCCAGGCTCCTGGTTGCTGCAGGTGTGTCTGGTGCCTGAGAGCTCCTCACCAGGCTMGCTGGTGCTGCTTTGGCTCCTCAGCCCAGTGGCCATGTTTGACCTTCATTCAGGCCATGATTGACCTCCTGATCTCCCCTCCTCTGCATGGCCCCCTCCCGTGTGCACACAAAGCCTTGCCGCAGGTGGGCTTGTGCAAAGCCAGYGAAGTCTGTGGACATGCTCAGACTGACCGAGACCCAATGTGGGCACCACTGGGCTGACACAGACCCACCTCCATCCCAGCTCCCATCACCTGTATACACAGCTGTCTGTAAGGGATACTTTTATAACCAGAGAAGAAAAATAATATTGTGACTTTGAGGGGAAAAAAACACATTATATAGCATCAACTTTAAAAGAAAAGTGATCAGACATTCTGAACCTGCTGTTGGAAAAGTACATCAGCCCTTGTGAAACAGTCATGTGAAATCAAGTTGGACCTGAATTAAGCAAAGCCTCTAGATCCAACCATGGACAGGAAGGGTAGAGGACTGGGGGACACAGAGACATAAACTCACAACATCCCTCATCAGCAGAACAGCAGAGGGAGAATCAGTAAGGCAGGCAACCCAGCTCTGTCACAGATAAATCAAAGAGAAAAGTAAACAGGATTAAGGAAGAACCTAGAGACAGAAGACAAGAAAGACACACAAATCAATTGCAAAGTACAGGCTTTATTTGGATTTTGCTTTAATAAGCAGAATGTTTATAACACTATTGGGAATTCAGATGCTGAATATTTAGTAATGTTAAAAAAAAGTATACTTGATGTTTTAGGAGTCATCATGATATTGTGATTATGTTAAACAACAAAGAACTTTTATCTTTTAGAGACACTGAAATATTTCCATCTGTAATTTGCTTTAAGTTGCCTCATGCATAAGGACATACACTGACACTTGTTGGAGTTGAGTGGAGGGAATGTGAAGGTCCTTTATTTTGAAWATGTTTGGAGCTTTCTGTTTAATAAAAGAGAATGGATACACTGCTCTGAGCTGGGTTATTTCCAAGTCCAGGAAGCCCAAAAGCCAGGGAAGGGGAGAGAATGGCAGATCCCTCAGTAAGATGGGAGGAGCAAGTGGGATCAGGACAGATTTGGGGGCAGAAATTTGAAATTGTAGTTGAAAAGCATACACAGGTGCAGACTGCAGCTCGGAAGCCATGCCAGCCACACACTGAGCCATTAGAGACCCAACCTCCACTCCTGGGGCCAGGACACATCTGTGCCCTCACTGTGGTTCTCTCTGCCAACCCCCCAGCTGGTCCGTGGGGAACTGGAGCACCTGCAGCCGGACGTGTGGCGGGGGCACTCAGAGCCGGCCTGTGCGGTGCACACAGCGGGCGAACTACAAGACGCAGACTGTTTCGGCCAGCCTGTGTCCACAGCCTGTGCCCTCCAGCCGGCAGGCCTGCAACTCTCAGAGCTGCCCACCTGCATGGAGCACCGGGCCCTGGGCAGAGGTAACTGGGTGGTGTAGCCAGGGGGCAGTGGATGGCCCTCCCCATGGAACGCAGGGCCTGCAGCAGGGGCCCCAGCACCGTCTGCTTCCTTTGCCTCCTTTGCTGGGGGCTGACCCTCGGCTCTTGTGCACAGTGCTCCCAAACCTGCGGAAAGGGGTGGAGGAAGAGGGCCGTGGCCTGCAAGAGCACCAACCCCTCAGCCAGAGCACAGCTKCTGCCCGACGCCACCTGCACCGCGGAGCCCAAGCCCAGGACTCACGAGCCCTGCCTGCTGAAGCGCTGCCACAAGCACAAGAAGCTGCAGTGGCTGGTGTCCGCCTGGTCCAAGGTAGGCCTCCCAGTCCTCAGGAACAGCCCCGCCAGTCACCTCCTGGGCCSCCCTCCTCTCCTGCTTCCCTGCTTCCTGCTCCCCTTCCTTCACCTGGCTTCTTGCACTGCCCAAGTCCCGAATCTCCCAGCCCCTCTTCAAGGCCCTCCCTGAGCTCAGGTCTACTCCTTAAGTCATGTCCTTGAGCATCACCTCCAGGGACATCCATGCTGCCCCACTCGGTCAGCATCCAGCACAGACAGGAGTGTGAGAACAGGGCACAAGCGTGAGTACAGGGGACCCTCCTCGTGGTGATAGGGGGTCCCAGAGCATCCCCTAACTCCAGAACACTTGCGACCATTTCTAGGAGATGCTCCCCCAGGGCAGAGCAGGAAGAAGCTGGATCACTTAGGATAAAGAAGTCTCATTTCCCGAGATGTAGGCAGTCTGTATATTCCCAGGGGACGTCTCTGTGTTGAGCGCTCTGGAATTCCCATCCTGTGCTGCCCGCTTCAGGGGCCACCCTAGACCCCATCACAATGGGACCACAGTGAAAGCATGGCTTTGGAGTGTGGAAGCCTTCTTGACTTGCTTTGGCGAAGTGAGCCTAAAGGACCTCAAATACCTTACAACCCACAGAATGGCAGCAGCAGCCCACCAAATGAGCACCCATCCGCATGAGTGTCAAGGGGTCTCCACCTCCSGGGCTGCAGCTCTGCATGTCCATACAGGCAGGCAACAAGCTCCCAGCCGTCCCTGTCCCACACTCCTCAGGGTTAGACACGGTCCCTCTAGGTATCTCATTTCCCCAAGTTCCTTCAGAAATGCCTTGTTCAGAATGGAAAGCTCTGAGCAGGGTCYTTAATCCTGCTGTTTGCCACTAGAAACTAGAAAGGTCATGCTCACTCACCGGAGCAAGCTGGTCATTGCTAATGAGGAGCACTAGGCTCTCTTTCACCCAGGCACAGGATCGAGTGTCTCCGGACAGAATCCTACGTCATGAGAAAAAAATATGTCGGCTGTGCATGCCCTTGGAGCCTAATGGTGGAGCGAGCAGCTTGGGCTGTGCAGGCTGTGGGCTGGGTCCAGACAGAAAACCCTTGGCCAGAAACGGAATATGCACCAGCGAGCATGCACACACACACACACACACACACACACACACACACACACTCACATACACACCCCAGAGCTTCTCTCTGAGGCATGGTCCACTAAACAACCTAGATGATTATTTCAGTGCAATCTCTGTTGTGACATCAGGACACACAGAAGACACACCTGCGAGGTGAAGGTTGGGGGTATGAGGTCAGAGCTGGGCAGGTGTTGCCACCTGGTCCCTCTGCTTAGGCCACCTGCTAGCAGTTCAGCCTGGCGGTCCTTGGGCTTCTCAGCTTCACCCACTGTCCCCCAGCCCAAGTCACCAACACTGGGGACCAGGCTTCCTCTCAGAGCCCCTGGCCTGGCTGGGGGAAGCAGCATGTCTTGTTCTTGCCTGACGGGCGGCTGCAGACTTCTGCCCAATGTGCTGTTTGCCCAGGGTCTCTCTGTGCCCTCAGGCTGCTGGTGGCAGGCACAGCCCAGGCTTAGTGCATACCTTGGAGGGAGCAAAGAGATGTGCTTTGCTCTCTCAATTCATGCTGCTGTCTTCASGGGCAGCACCCCGTTTTCTGGGGAAGATCTGTGAGCCCTTGGCTGCTTCTACCTGTCTCTGCTTTAGGGACCCACAGCATGCCTGAAGCTGGKTGGCTGAATCAATCCGTGGGTCTGTGTCGTTTATCTCATGTCCTYTGTGTATAACATTTCTCTACTTCTTAATCAGTGAGAGCCCAATGTTCTAACCTCTCAGAGAAACAGTAGCTTCAGAATCATTCCTACAGTAGTTCCTGACTGCCCTGCCCCTGCTTATGAGCAGATACCACGGTGACTCAAGATCCTCCTGGTGAAAGTGATGGATCCACCATGCCTTTCAGAATGCCAAGGCCCCAAAACTGCCACCAAATGTCTATATTCATATAAATTTTCCAGCTAATATCGTGAGAAGACATTACAACCGCTGATTTTGAAAAAAGAAAAAAAAAAAAGCCGTCTTTTGCCTCCTCTTTCAGTGCTCTGCCACGTGTGAGAGGGGGACCCAGGAACGATTCCTAAAGTGYGCTGAGAAGTACGTCTCGGGGAAGTACCGCGAGCTGGCCTCCAGGAAGTGCTTGCACGTGCCAAAGCCTGAYCTGGAGCTGGCGCGCCCCTGTGCGCTGTTCCCATGCCCTGCGTACCCCCTACAGGCTGCCGCAGGGCCCCCACGGGGCASCTGGGTGGCCTCGCCCTGGTCCCAGGTAAGAGGCTCTGAGCATCCTATTGGGGAAGTGTCACGGCTCCCGGCCCCAGGGCTGGTGGCCTGTGGGAGGTGTGGGGGGCTCTCTGCAGAGGTGTGCTGCCCGAGCCCACCTGGCCACCCCATGACCTTTCTCTCCAGCATGTGCAGGTGGCCCCTTTCCTGGGCATTTCGTTCTGAGGAGGGACTCCAGATGTCACTCAGCCCTACAGGCCCCGCGGGTATTGTTCTGAATTTCTGTCCCATTAAGTGTAAAGAAACGTGATGGTTTTGGTCTTAGCTGGGCAGGATTTCTCAGAGAGGGGTGTGGATGGGAAGAAGTGTGAGATCTGGCGGAAGTCACCAGCTGTCAGTTTGTAGTTTAACCACGAGGCTATAAAAAGTAGAGAGGCCATCGACACCCTGGGAACACAGTGGCCTGCCTGTGCGCTGGGAGCTGGCTGGCCTCTGCTGAGTGCCCACCGTTTTCCCTCGGGGTTTCTCTCAWGCCGTCCTCCTCCTCTTCCCACACGTCCTCCACTCTAAGGAAGAACTCGGCCGAGACTGTCCTACCCCCATCCCTCATCCTGTTTCCTGCTTGGGTTCCCAGCAGCCTCGGCTCTCTCTGGGTCTGGGGTCCTGCTTCCCAGGCCCTTGGTTTCTGGATCCCCTCTTGTCTGGAACCACGCTTAGCTCCTCTCCCACCTGCTGGGATTCCTGCCACAGGCCAGGAGGACACAGCCCATAGGTGCTGAGGCCCTGCATGCAACCCCTGCTCCACTGGCCAGCAGTCTAGCCTCCCATCTGTCCAGATCAGGGACATTTCCCTTTTGTGACTGTCTGATCGGCTGGCAGCAGAGTGAGCTGTGGGCTCTTACAGAAACACCTCTGTCCCTGGCCAGTKTCCCAAAGCTTGTCAGGTACATTGCTCCAACATACCCGAGGTAAAGTCCCAAGTTTGTCAGATGCACAGGGGCATCAGGACGCCCCACCCAGGGCTTTCCTGCAGCCCCAGCTGGTGCCCTTGTGGATTCCAGCACCCAACCCCAGGGAACACGGGCTGGAATCTGTGCCACGTCACTTCCAGAAGGACCTTCCAGGGTTCAGGTCTCTCTCCAAGGACATTTCCCAAATGGTCTTTCCAGTGCCTGGTGCCAGAGAATGGTCTTCCCCTGGTCCAACTCCTGTCACTGCCCACAAAGGGGACCTGCTGGGACAGTGACCAAGCACCCCTCTCCCACTTTGTCCACTCACTCTCCTTGTGCCAGCCTGTCCCAGGAGCCTGCATCACAGCGAGTGTTACTCTGGGCTCCCAGCGTCAGTAAGGGAGGGCGCCCAGGGAGGGTGCGGCCCCTTGAGGAAGCATGCACTCCCCCCAGCCCCCCAGGCCTGATAAAGGAAGTGTGCACACAGCACAGCTGCCATCTGGAACCTCCCAGGTGCCCGCCCCTCCCACCTGGAGCCTCATGCAGCTGCCGCAGGCCCAGGCAGGGGAGATCCCTGCAGATCACCATGGGGACGATGTTTAGCCACAGGTCACAGGTGGAAGCATCTGCTAGGTGTTTTACACATACGTTCTATGTACTGCTCTTGCACACGTATGAACACCACGTGTGCACATATCCACGTATGTACATGCTGTGCACGTGCTATACTGTGCTTAGCACTGCACCCAGCCCACGCTCAGGGAATGCTTGATGAGTGGGTGGATTTGCAGGGAAACGAGTCCAATGAGTACACTGGGGCAGCTGCTTCAGGCCTTGTTGGAGAGCCCACTCGTCGCAGGGGAGGGGGTGCCCTTGTAGTGAGGTTCATTTTCATTGTCTGCCAGCATGGCAGGCTCTGCCAAGGGACCCACTCGTAGCTCATCRTCCCTGATAGCCAAAGACAATGCCAGCTTGCCTGCCGGTGTGTCCCCCAAGATTCCCAGGATTGAGCTGGAGAGCAGGCTGGTGGGGTCRGGAGGTCCAGGCTGTCTCCGTGCATGTGCATGTCAGGTGCATGAGGGGAGCTCCTGGAGAAAGCAAACCAAGGGCAGCCACTGACTCATCAAAAGTCACCCACAGTTCACATCCCGCCAGGCGCCATGTCCCCAGACCCGTAGACTCCAGTAACCAAGTTGATCTGAGTATGTTTGAAGGATTGAAGAATTGTGATTGGACCCACTGGGCAAGGCCACAGAGYCCACTCCACAGGCCAGGTGGTACTTGCCTACACAACCTATCCTGGGAAGGAAATCTGTGTCCATGGGGTCAGGGGCTCACTGAGMAGGTGGCCAGGGGTGAGGTCCAAGAATGGACAGAGCCTTGAGCTGAGCAACCCACTGTGTCTCACATGCTTAGCCAGCCTGGGGTCTGGTTCCCTGACAGTGACCAGCTCTCCCCAACCTGGTTCTCTCCTTAGGCTTTTTCCTCCCCWTGGTGGGGGGCACACAGGCTGCACTGCCCACCGTGAGTCCCTTTCCTGTCAGCCTGCCACTGGGCATGACCCCTCAAGGGGAAGTGCCCTGCCCCAAGAGCAGTGTCCTGCTTTGAATAATGTTCCCAAAACTCATGTTCACCCAGAAATTCAGGAGGTGATCTCATTTGGAAATAGATGCAGGTGACATTAGTTAGAGTGAGGACACCTGGAATTGGGTTGGGAACTGCTACTATGAGACAGTCCCATGAGCACAGAGACTCATGGGGGAGGGGACATGAGATGAGGGAGAGGCAGAGACAAGGTGACAGGTGGCCAGCACCACCAGACTCCAGGCAAGGGGTGAGAGGATCCCCTCTGAACCCCAGAAGAACCACCTCTGTGCCGACACCTTGACTCTGGACCTGTGGCCCCCAGAACATGTGAAATGAGAACAAGTTTCTGCAGGTCCAGCACACAGGCAGAGGTTTAGCACAGCAGCCCCAGGGAGCTAAGACATGTAGGGCCTTCCTTGCCCCACGGGGTCTCCTCCTGGCCCCCAGAGGGTGRGCTGCCATGGGCTATGGCTGTCTTCCTCAGCTCCATGTCCCTCATGGCCCCAGCCGGGCATTGGGCCCATGGGCATGTGAAGAGGATGCCTCTGTTCTGGAAGCCACAGCTCCTCCTCCACCTGCTTCTCCAGAAGGTCAGGTGCAGTCAAGGCCTCCAGGTGCCCTGCTGTGCAGTCCAGCTGCCAGGACAGCTGAGGCRATGGCCCACTGGTGCCTTCCCTCTRGGTTCTCCTGATCCCCCCAAACCAGGACAACGGCCTGCACCCACCCACCCACTGGTGCCTTCTGTTGGCAGCTGGTGCTTAGCATCCTCTCACTTAAACCCAGCCCTGCACGGGAAACCGAGATGAACCAAGGAATTTGACAGAAATGAAAACACACTTTGGCCAGGCACCGTGGCGCATGCCTGTAATCCCAGGGGCTCAGGAGACTCAGGCAGGAGGATCACGAGTTCAAGGCCAACCCTAGCAACTTAGTGAGATCCTGTCTCTAAATAAAATATAAAAAAGGCTGGGGTGTGACGGTAGTTAAATGCCCTTGACTTCAATCCCCAGTACCAAAAACAAAAACCACACACACACACACACACACACACACACACACACACACCTTTGTTTGTATTTTACTGAAGCCCAAAGAAAACAGACATCTTAACAGAACCAACTAAGTCCATCATGGAATGTTTTTCAGAATTAGATAAAAGCTCATTAGAATAATAACAGTTTAAAATCCCCCCACACGACGCCATACTTCACCCCACTGATGCTCTGGGTATGCAGGAATGACGAGCCCAGGTCTGGTCCTCACCAGGGAAGGACACTGAGGATCCTAAAGTGAGTCCTGCCCCCAACTCCAGCTGTTAACCCCGACTGCTCAGCACGGAGCCAGCCAGCACATTTAGAAAGAGTAAAACAAGGTTTACTAATATTTAACTCAAACCCAAACCTAAAACCAAAAGGACATCTTCAATCGTTTTTGCAAGTCTGAAGCATCCCGTCTGGTTGTCTAATATATGATTTTTGCCACCAGCTGACTAAAGTCTCCATCCACTGTGCCTCATCCACTGTTAGGAGACTGCAGCTGTTTTTGGAAAGGTGATAAGGGGCTACGCTTGCCGTGAGCACTTGTACCCATGGCTGTGCCCTCAAACTGGGACGTTGCCAGTGAGATGAATGGCCGGTGACCACTGAGCTCTGCCACCAGACAGGCTTATTCTTTTAGAAATTGAAGGTCCTTGTTCCTGGTCTGCTCTGTGGGGCTTCTGCAGATCTAATGGTGTTGCTTATCCCCACATTTTACGGTGGGCGTGGTGAAGCACTGGCCCAGATCATTTTAGTCATGTGGGCTTAGTCAGGTGGTTCCCACACTGTTTGGTCTGGGAACGGCTTAAGCGGGATCACTGTTGGACTGTGTCTCGCTCCACATGACAGAGATGAATGTGGCCCTGCTGAGTGTGCGGGGGCCCCAGCTCTCTCTCTGGGAGCCCTTTACCAGGACTGTGCACAGATTGACGGAGGAGCACGCTGCACTGTGAGGAGTGAGCAGCCATGTCACAGACGGAGCGCTGGGTTTTTCACCCTGGTAACTGTGGCTCTGATGCAGTACGAAATGCCTACCTCTAACAAGGGCACCCGCACCCTCGTCCTCACAGCTGCCAGTGTGGCCAGGACCRGGCAAGAACAGCTCACCACCACTGACGGGCCGTGGTACACACCTCCTGAATTCAAGGGAGTTGGGCTTGTGACGGACTGAATTGGCACAACAGCTACAGCCCAAAGCTCCTCAACTCAGGTTTGCAGCATAAGCCACCAGAAGCTGCCCTGGGTCAGGCCACTGAGACCTGCCTGGTTCCATTCTCAGTCGAGTTGGCATTTTGTCTCTGGAACAGAGGGACAAGTTACAGTGCAAAGAAGCTCTAGAGTTGAAGGCAGAGAATGCATGGAGGCCCAGCAGAAAACGGCACCTCAAAGGAGAAATGTAATGGGACCTCTCAGTGGAGACACAACAGGCAGGAGATGAAAGCCAGAAACCTGTGGCCCTTGGAAGTGGGCAAGTACTTAGGTATTCACTGTCSCCTGTGCTTGGGGGACAAACTATCCCATGCGAGAAGCCCCATGATCTCAATGTGTCCTCTGAGTGACAAGGTAGGGCAGTTGTCACCATGTTCCATGGCATTTTTCCACAAAGCTCAATGGCCTAGAAAAGAAGTATTTCTCTCATTTAAAAACAAAAAAGCGCTAGAAGCAAACATTATTATTTGYTTTTCTTTGGTTTATCTTACTAATAACTGAGAGTAACCATCTTTCCCACTCACCTCATTGTGTTGCCTCCTAAAGTGAGCCGCTGGTCTCTCTAAAATCAGACATCAGATCACTAGTGACACGGGAGACTCTTGTGTCTTAGACTCTCAGAAGGGAGAGAATTGGGCTCTTCACCATTTTGAATAATGTGTTCTCAGGACATGTCTTATGTTAGTCCCACTGGAGGGATTCGAATATGAGATCCAACCTGGATCTGCAGCATTTTTCTGATAACAGCATTTTTCTGATAACAGCAAGGTGGTCTCCCAGCCGAGGAATAAATGTCATCCCAAGGCAGCTGACTCCATACTGGAACTGCCAGAAGACGCTCACTGCTGGTGCCTGGGAAGGACCGTCCCCCTGGATACTGCAGTGACTCTTCCACATCTCTTCCATCTTCCCAGCTGGACAGAGTCTTGGCAATTGGGAGTCTTGGGCTCACCKCCATGGCTTCAGGCTGGGCAGGGTTGAGGACAACAGGAAAGGAGGCAAGGAGAGGCTGTCTGGGTGCAGGAAGGTGCCAGCTCTGTGAGATGCTGCCCATCCCTGGCAGAGCCCACTGGAGTGCAGGGTGGTCCTGCTCTGTATCCTCACCCCACCACCACATCTCACAACCAGGCCAGGGTGCGCTCACCCATCAACAGCCCAGTCCTGTTGGGGAGCCTCCATACCAGTAGGAGAAGTAGACCTTAAAGAATGTCCACACTGATCCTGCAGAGCTGCTGGGACTTGGGGCTGTACTGTGTTGCGGGGGGGAGTTTTGTGCACAGAAGGTTTCATTTAAATAAGGGGCCACAGGGTCTTCTCCAAGGCTACAACCGGCCGGAGTAAGAAGCAGCCCATTGAGAATGAGGGATGATGGCATTTGCAAGGGCCACACTTTGGAAAAAGCCTCCATCTTTTTATTTATTTATTTATTTTTTCTGTCTTCTACTATGTTTTTTATTAGTTGCTCAAAACAATACAATGATCTTGAGCCTCTATCTTTTTAAAGGGTGATCTGGTTCAGCATTCACAGTCAGAACACTTTGACTCTGTGGACCCTTTCTGTTAGAGGTAGAGGTAGCTGAGGTCGTTTCTGAAAACTAAAAGGGAACAGCACAGCCAATGGAACTGAAAACCTCGGGCAGCAGCTCCCCCAGCGTGTCCCCACTTGTAGCCACAGTGACATTGTTAGAATATAGGTTCCCAGATGCCTCCCACACCAGCCCAAGCTCAGGTTTTTGTTGTGGACCCAGCAGTCTATTTAACAGGTCCTCCAGGTGATTCCATGCACATTCAAAAGTGAGAACTGTGGTCTGGGGAAGGAGCCAACAACTGGCCCTGGGTGGGGGTTGGATGAGCAGGTCACTGTGACTGAGCAGCATGGAGGCCTCTCTGGGCCATCAGCAGGAGGCTCAGTTGAGTCTCATGAAGCTGGGGGAGGAAGCCAAAGCTTTAGCCTCAGGTCCAGGGTCCAGACTGTCTTTTCACTGAGACTTATTTTCCCCCRTGGTGCTGTTTCAGTGACTTGCCCACCCGTCTTGTCCAACCGTGGCCTCCTGGTCTCTTCCTGTCCCTGCCTGGCCCACAGGTCTCCACCCCTGGAGTTCACTTGGTGGTCAAGGGGTCCAGGTGCTTCTTAGCTGAGTTTGCCTGGGAACCAGAGGCTGCCCAACTCAGCGGACAGTCTGGAATGGGAGTTCTAAACACCCTGCTGAGTTCCGAGCCACCGTGTTAGTGCTGTTGACAAACAACTTGCATTTTCTTCCTTCCTGGAGAGAAATGAACACACATTTTCAAGTCTCTTATTTCCYTTCCATCTCCTTGTATAATAATGTCTTTATTGATTCAAAACATTCTTTTCAAAATATTTTCAGAGTTTGGAGCTTTGCATCTTAGTTCCTCCAGTTTACATGAAGAGATGCAAATTTTGAGGAATTTAGAGGCTGTTTATCCCACAAGTAGGTTTTCCCTGGGGAACTTTAAACCTTTCTAGACCAAGGTTCTCATACTTACTGTGTGTCTGAATCATCAGAGCCTGGTGCAGATTCCCATCCAGCCATGTGGGGAGGGGGGATGCCAAGAGTCAGCACGACCTCARGGTCCCAGCTGATGCACCGCTGCACCAAAGACATGTTGAGAATTGGGTTTTARAGCACCCTGAGGCCAGGGCCAGTCGCTGTGTTCATCACTGAGTATCTGCCGCCTAGAATAATACCTGGTACAGAAGMGATGAGTGATCAATATTTGTTGAGTAAGAGAATCAATGACAAAAATGAATCAAACTAGATATTAATTATTTTATGACTGGTGAAAGTCTCTGGAGAGCTCTCTTGATCGCTAAGGTGGGCATAATACCCTTAGCAAGAGTAGAATTCTTCCCCAGCTGCTGATTAGGAAAGAAATTCAGCCTGAAGGATGGAATGAATATGTTGTGGACCCCAACAGATGTGGATATGCCCAATGAGACCCTGGGAATGGCCACCTCAGCACAGCACATCCGTGCCCCAAAGCCCTCGGTGCACCCCCGACATGCAGAACACAGAACAGAGGCAGAGCTATGCTTCCACAGAATGCTCAGAAAGATGTCGTAAGCAACAGGAAATGTCTGGCTCTATCRTGGGTGACCCTGATAATTCAGAAACCAGACATGAATCTGCCCGTATCATTATTTGTTCATTTGCCATGGACATATATTGAAACTGAATTATTGGTGACTTTTGCTGAAACTGGTATTGAAGTGAGGGCTAAGCCTCCGAGAAATGCTCCAGACAGAGGCCCAGGGCCTGCTCTGCCTTAACCAGAGAGCAGAAAGCGAATGACTCCTTCAGCTTAGAGTCACAGTGTTCCCTCCTCTCCCTTCCGAGGGTACAGGAAGACGTTTTACTTACTCCATCACCTGGTTGCTCTTCCAGGGGACTTAGGGTCACTTTGAAAGTGMTGATTGCAGCAGATCCTAGAGAGGCAAAGACAGCTGGGCCTCAGGTTGGCTGCTCACGTGGGCTGGTGCCAGCCATGGAGAGCCCTCACAGCCTCTCCTGTGACAGGCTGCAGCGGGACTCCAGGACGTGGTCTTCAAGGTTTGGGCGAGCAGTGTTGGTCATGAATGTCCCCAGGTTTGCACAGCGTGATCCCTTCAAGCTAAGCACCCACTTAGTTTGGCACCACACACCCGGGGTTTTGACCCCTGATCCTGGCCATCTTCTGCAGGTGCTTCTTTCATGGATTGAACCTTGACACTGTTGAGCTGGTAGCCTGGTTGGAGCGCCTCGTACGTGATTTAGTCTACACTTGTGTAGTGGCCTTTTGAGGTGGATTAATCACAATGGTCCAGGTTCCGCTGCCTCTCTAGTCACTTACCCCCTGATTTCTTTGCCCCAGTGGATCTTGGATGGGTCCAGTTCACAGTTTGTGGTGTGTGCACCCAGCCAGCTGATGAAGGATCATCTACTGGGCACACCCCTTCCTTCTCTGCTTCTGCCCAGAGCCCTGGGATGTGAAGGGCCAGGCACAATGAGCAGTGATCCCTGCAGCTGGCAGAACCACCCAGGCACTGCAGCCGGTGAGCCTGGGGAGGAGCAGTGACCAGGAGCTGGCTCATGGAGCCTTTCCCAGTGAGGACCACCTGAAGGGTGGCTGAGTGAGGACATTCCCTGAAGGACTGGTTCTTTTACATCGGACACAGAGAGCAACCTGGCATCACCAGAAATGCACCCATTTCCTGCATTCATCAGACCATCAATGGCTCCCCAAGAACACTCCAGGCTTATGATAACCTTTCCCCTCTGTCCATACCTGAAGTTAATCGAGGACCTGGGCAGCAACCACAGTCATAGAGGGAGACCACCTGGGCAAGGGGATGCTTGGGAGGGGAAGGAAGAGGAACCCTGCATTTCACAGTAGCCAGGGCTGGTGTAGGCCCTAAGAGTCAGGGGAGAACCAACAGGTAAGAAAGTACCTTTGCCCTGCTTCTGGGTCTGACATCAGCAATGTTCTCTCAAATACTCAAATAGAAACCAAAGAGGGGATCCTCTTGTTCTGTAATCAAAGAATAACTCATGGGTAACCTTCTTGGAGGTTGGAACCTAAGTGTATTTTTTTTTCTCCCTATTGCCTGTTTGAGGAGATAACATGCCAATCCATGAATATCCATTATTATTTGGTATAATTATTTTTACCAAGTGTACTCTGCCCCAGAGTTGCCTGATCTCAGGAGTTCCCTCAGGCTGTGGCTGTTGAAACCCCAGCCTGAGTGACCTCAGTCATACAGGGCTACCTCCCACCTGAGCACCTGGAAGGGTCACGAGCTGGCTCAGAATGCTCCTGCAGGGGCCCAACCCAGTGCCCAGCATGAAGCACTCTTGGAGAGGGGGTGAGCAGGGGCAGTTYGTCTGTATTGGGGCTGAGCATCACTTCAGATGCCTTTTATTGACCCTCATCCTCACTAAAGATGTGCTGGCATGCAACAGCTGCCTTCTTTGGTGGGTGGGCACAGTGATGCCAGCCCTGTGCTGGGACCTGGCAGCCTGGTGACCGTTCTGTGTTGTTCTCGCAGTGCTCAGCCAGCTGTGGGGGAGGTGTGCAGAGGCGTTCTGTGCAGTGCATGGCAGGGGGCCGGCCAGCCTCCGACTGCTCACCACACCAGAAGCCTGAGTCCTCCCTGGCCTGCAACACTCACTTCTGCACCATCCCAGAGAAGAAAGGTGAGCACTGGAGCCCTCGTGTGGGATGGGGGTGTCAGGTCAGGAGTGGTTCCTTGGAAGGCTTGTGGAAGTGGGGGTGCCCACGGCTGGAGGGATCCAGAGTTGGGCCTTCTGTCCATTTTGCCTTTTCTTTTTTGTCACTTCATCCTCCGGTTTTATAATAAAATACTTACAAAGCAGGCCTCTGCCATCCTCATGCCTCCTGAGGAAGACAGAGCTGTTTGTGATGTAAGTCTGACCTTAAAAGGCATATGATTCCTGACTCTGGCAAGGCTATTTACAATACTMGAAGAAGAAAAATTTAACTCAGGGAGCTTTTCACCCTGCATTACACAAAGGTCTCACTTTCTTCTAATGGTCTCAAAACACCACCCGTGCCTGAGGCAGCTGCAGAGCTGGCAATCKGCCATGGTTCCTCTGACAGCAAATGGAACAGGGGACAAGGAATGGGCTCACCCAGAGAAGAAGGCAGTTGGTATTCAGTCCTAGAGAACCCATCATCTTGGGGGATGGGTGATTGGGTGGGTGCATGTAACACAAAAAGAAGAGCAGAATTGTTCCAGAAACTCCCACAGGTCTTGGGAAAAGTAGAAGTTCTACAGGTCTCTGTTAGACCTGAAGAGCTGCCCTCCAATGATAAGTCTGCCGTTATTAGCAAGCAGAGGTCTGCTGATGCTGTGCTCAGTGCACTTGGCTAACGTAGAGTGTGCTTGTTTCCAGACACCTTCTGCAAAGACTACTTCCACTGGTGCCACCTGGTGCCTCAGCATGGGATGTGCAGCCACAAATTCTACGGCAAGCAGTGCTGCAAGACTTGCTCCAAGTCCAACCTGTGAGTCGGACCGGCCCCCGCGCAGAGAAGACACTGAGCAGCAGAGGAGTCTCAGCACAGAGTCGCTGTGCCATCCACAGTGGGATGCCTCCAAGGAAGCTTCGGCTGAAACAGGGAACACAGTGCTAGGCCCTTTGACCCAGAGTGCATGCACAAGTGTTTCAGGGTGAGGCACATGCATACCCGTGCCCATGCAGTGCACAGTCTCCTGTTGGGGTGACCTGTGGGGCCCTGTGGGATAACCTCTGGCATATCAGGCAGGAGGGCCCACCCTGTGAAGCAGGAGAAGCAGTGCTCACCCACACTTACGTTCCAGCTAAATCAGTCCAAAGACAGGCAGAGCTGAGCATGCTGAACACGAAACGATTGGTGCTTTGTAAAATGAAGGGGAGGCTGTGAAATAAGAAAAGTGCACAAATACCTGTCACTAACATACCAGCCTCCTGCCCCACCTCAGAGGCCCCTCTGCACTCARGGTTGGAGGGGCAGGTGCTGTGGAGCTCCCTCGCTCTGCCCAGGTTCCCCCTCCTACCCCAGTGGCCACGGGAGTTTAGGTCATCCCTCAGGTGCCCCCAGGCCCCTGATCTGGACATTGCTTATGAACCCAAAGAGGGAAATCCCTGCTCAAGGGCCTCTTCCCCTTCAGACGCAGGCGCTGGAGGAGAGACCTTCATACTTACTGTTTTATCTTTCTCAGTTACTTACCCGCGAGGTTTCCTATTCGAACCTGTTTCTTAGTGCTTTTCTGTTTTAAGTGATGGATTGGATGTACAGGTTACAGCAAGATCTGACTCTCCCGGAAACAGGGGTTCCTGCCATGAGAGATGTCTGCGGAGCAGCCTGTGTGGTCATAACCGGAAGCCTTGCGGTCTGATTTTGTGTGTCGTGGGGTTTTCAAATTCATTCTGTGAGTTTGGTTGTTTCTGTGGAACAGGTTGAGGAGGAAGGCCGGCTGCACCGTGGGCTTCCACCCTCTCCCTATCCTCATTGGTGCTTAATTCTGGCTCCCCTCCTAGGGTGTGGCTCCATTCTGAATGGGCATCTGGATATTTATATTTGCCGAAGTTTTATAATAAATTTTATATTGTACGGAAAGCCCCTGAGTGGCATTGTGACTCTCCGTGAGCTTTGCTTCCCAGATGGAGGGCTGGCAGGAGACACTGGCAAATGAGCCTCACGGAGGCAGGAGCAGGGCTGGAGGGTGTGAGAAAGGGCTGGACTAGACCAGGAGAGATGCTTCCGTGAGGCAGAGGCTGCAGGGGTGATGGTGGCCTCAGGCAATGGAGGTTTGGTGCCATGTCCAGTGGGAAAGCTGTCCTGACCCTGCGACCCCTGCTTGTCAATCAGCATTCTCTAAAGAAGCAGAACCACTAGGACCTACAGAGAAAAGTGGGGTGATAGGTTAAGGAACTGGCTTGCCTAATTGTGGAGCCTGGATACCCTGAAACCATACAGAGGACTGCAATGCTGGACATTGAAGGCTGAGTGGATGTGGCCTTCCTGGGTCTGCCTCCATGAGACAGTGGGCTGCAGACTTGGGCAGGGTCCCCATGGTGCCAGCTTGGGACAGAATTCCTTCTTAGTGAGACCTCAGTGCTGGTGTCTAAGGGCTCATCTGATGAGGCTGAGGCCCACCCCTGGAGTGCAGRGTGATGGGCTTTCCTTAAAGTCTACTGATTTAACCTTAATCGCATCTACAAAATACCCTGACACAACGTCTAGTCTGGTGTCTGACTGTCACKGAGTCTGTCCAAGCTGACACATGAACTCATCCATTGTAGTCCCCAGGATTGGATGTAACCAGCCCACGGGAAGTCACTGCTGCCCCGTCGTTGAGACGACCCTGGCCCCTCAGAATGTCAACTGCTGACCAGCAGCTCCACRGGGTCGGCCCCACGCCCCTGGAGARCCTGCCTGGTTCACAGAAAACCTGCATTYGCTCAGCCCACACCACCTGTCGCTGGGCCTGACCGCAGGAGGAGATAGCCCTCATCCCATTTCACAGAGAGGAAATCAGGACAGGAAACAAATGTGGCTCTTCCTAGAATCACAAACCAGGAAAAAAAGGCTCTGAGGGATGCTAGGAGAAAAGGTGCCACCTATTTCACCACCCAAACACCAGCACCAGGGACCTGTTGATTCTCCAAGGCACTCAGCAGGTCTCTAGGCCTCTGCACAGAGAGAGGACTTCCAGTGTCCATGCTTACCRTTCTCAGTAGCTCCTCATCAGACGCCTGCTGGGTGGAGCTGAGGGGGGCAAGAGTGGCCCAGGTTGGTCCCAGGGACCACATCTATCTCTGTCAGAGAGAAGTGCACAGCCACATATTGATGCAGTTCAAGGCTGATGAGGCCCCAGAGGACAGGGTCAGGGACAGGCAAAGGAAGAGCTTTGCTTCTGTTCAGAAGGGAAATGGTGGGTCAGAGAGGGGAAGCTTTGATCAGGAGCTTAAAATGGAAGAAATCACACGCAGTCGGAGGAAGGCACAGCAGGCATCTGTGCCCGTTCAGGGAAGGTGCTGGGCAGTCGAGGGAGGGCCAAGGGCTGCCCAGGGCCAAGGCCTGAGGGGACTGTGGGACTGACCATTCAGCACCTGGTGAATCCCCCTCTTCTGGGCGTGGCCCCTCCAGCTCACATCCTGACTAGGAGGAAGAGGGGCTCTGATTCAGACCTGCCAGGCCCACCCAGAGCCTGCCCCTGCTGCAGCCCCACACGTGCTTAGCCACAGGAGCGGCCGACAGCACCGAGTGCCACATCACTCACCCGCTGCCAGTCAGCCGGGGCACAGCTGGGTTGGACCAAGGAGCAAGTACCCTCACCTCCACATGGACCCTCCTGATGGACAGGCCTGAGCCCCCTCATGGCAGCCTCTCTGCTGGCTGCCCGCTCTCAGCCRTAGCCAGCGCAGCTCCTCCCACCCCAGCCAGAGTGAGGTGGACCCACCCAGCCCTCCCACTGGTGCCCAGACACCTGGGGAGCTCCTGAAAACCACATACTGGGCCCTGCTCTGCCCCCGCTTCAGGGCTCGGAAATATCTGCCCTCAGAGAGCCTCTGGWCATGCAGAGTGACCGGGCTTGAGGATTTTCTGTTTTCCTCTCCTTGTTTGTTCCTAATGTAGTCTCAGCAATTTGGGCTGGAAAAGTTCTAGGTACAAAACTTATGGACGCCCCGGGGATGAGTGGAGAGCAGGATGATCCACCACCACCCCCGTGTGAAATGCCCTGAGCTCCCAGCACAGGTGGGTCCACGGTCACTGTTCTTCACCCTGTTGCTTTCTCACTACACTCAGCCTCAGCCTCAGCCTCAGCCTCAGCCTCAGCCTCAGCCTCAGCCTCAGCCTCAGCCTCAGCCCCAGCCTCAGCCCCAGCCTCAGCCTCAGCCACACACTCGCAGAAACTGCAGCTACCAGGAAGTGGCTCTCTGGTTCTGGTGATTCGATCCGGATGAATCCTGGTGTGCTGTGCACTTCCCGATCCCCAAGCGTCAGGGGGCCAGGCTGGTGGAGAGCTGAGAGGCGACTCATGACCCGCACAGGGCCGGGGCACCTGCAGGGGCTGACACTGCACTCTGGCTTTGAGACCTGGGATTCACCTCTTCACGGGGGTTTTCTCTGCTTGTTTCTCAGTTGCTGTCAGAGGCCACAAGGGAATCACAGACAGCCTTGGTCCTTCTCGGCCTGGGCCCCCAGGAACCTTGCCAGGTGCTGCTCCCTGGAGCCCAAGGGCAGGGTGGGGGCATCCCAGAGCTCCAGGAACCAGCCCCCAGGAATTCCCTGCTGAGCCAGGCGTGGGCAGAGCAAAGCTGTGGGAGGAGGAGGAAGCAGCACAGACAGACACCCCAGAGCTGGCGGTGGCAGCCCTGCCTCCCAGTCTGCCAACTGCCTCCCAGTCTGCCGTCTGCCCATCCGTCTCCCTGCAACTSTGCAAAATCTCCCTGCCTAAACTCTTGGCTCCCAGCAACCCTGACCAGGAAGGTCTACGGGAGACTTCAGAGAGAGAAGCGCCCCCAGCACAGCCCAGCACTCCCTCTGGGCYTCCCTGGGTCAGAGCTCACCCTAGCCCACCCCAAACCTGCTGTGCTGTTGGGCTTTGTCATTCTGAGCAGCAKCTTCTGGAAAACCAAACCACCACCTCAGCCTGGAGCCTAGTTAAGTGCTGGTTGCTCACGCCTCTGCCTCGGGCATGCAGGGACCTCCTGGGGTCTGCTGAGTCTCCCCTGGCAGGGAGGCCAGATTCCTAGGCTCAGCTCTCATCACATTCCCAGCCTGGTCCTTTGCACTCTGACTCTGGTACTAGGCACCTCTCCGCAGCTTCTTGTTCCTGTCCCTCAGGTGCAAGGAGTGTGTCATGGCCCCATATCTGCTTTTCACTTCCTTCAGGAGGATGGAGTCCTGTGGTCTCTTGGAGCTGGAGAAAATCCCAAGGACGCTGTAGTCAGACCTTCTACCAGTCAGCATGGTCACTGTGATGACAACTTCCAGATCCCATGGCATGCAGCCATGAAGGCTATCTCTTCCCTGTTTCATGTTGACTCACATGACTTTGGTTCTCTTCTCTGCCTTTTCTTCAGCCCTGAATCCAAGTGGAAGGATGGCTCCTATCCAGGACTTCCTGTTCCACTGACCCAGGAAAAACAGTAAGAAATTACTAGAAATGCAGGCTGCCTCTCAATGCCTCTGCCTACTGTGGGCACACTGTGGMGTGCACCCACACCCCACTGGCTGAACACAGGACATGGTCAAGTCCTGTGTGGTCGGTGGCATGGTGGGATGCATAATGCACTGTGCCAAGAAGGAATGAAAACTGCAGAAGTGTGATACCATCAATCACATGTGCAGGGTGGTCAGTTCCAAGGCAGGGTCCCTTCCCTTGGGGTGTACAGTGAACAGGTATGGTATACACTTTCTCCGTGTGACCTTATGTAAGTCAATTCACCTCCCTGGCTGTTGGATTTGTTATTTATAAAAAGCACTTCACTCTTCCAGGCTCCTCCAAGAGTATACGAT